TGGGGGCTTTAAGATCAGATTAGATGTGAAGCCCAGAGGGAGGGTAGTGTTTGTAAATCAAACTACTACTTCTTGGAACCTTATAGCAAGTCTACACTGTTTCCATTTTATAGAGGGGAGGCTGAAACCCTGGAGGCTGTAGTTGTCCAGCTTACACTGATAATAAAGATAGAAGAATTTAGGTCATCTGACCTTTCCCCTACATCACTGACATTTTATTCTCTGTCCAAGGCTCACAGTAAGCCCTCCATTGATGTTTGTGGAACTGATGTTCTTTTTAGAACATTCAAAGATCTAAGTAAACATCAAGAGTCATTTTTTCAGTGTGTTATTTTTCTCAAAATATATAATCTGGAATGTAAAATATGATAATATCATTTACTTTATTCAAAGTCAGCTAAACTCAAAAGTATTTATGCAAGGCTCACTGTGTCACTAGAGACGGAGTTCAGAACTTGAATCCACATTTACGATTTTTGCATTTCAGGCATCAAGTCAGTTCTGTATAAATCATTACTGTATAATATGTTTTGAGAGGTTATGTAGTATGGATCTGCCAATTAATTTCATCATAATGGAAAATGGGAAAACAAGAAATCCCCACAACTCAGTTTGGGTTTAAATGATCTAGTTATAATTCATTTCATATTTTTACATTAAGATATGATTTTTGATTTAGAAATCCATTGCATTTGTATCTCTTGGTAAGCACAAATAACATTGAAAAGACTTGGAGGATCTTTGCATGTTATTATTTAGAAAAGGAAGCAAGAAGTAAGTCAGTTATTTTCACAGAACGAATGTTGAATCTTGTTGTTCCTTTTTGAATTTTTTATTCTAGAGTATGTAAAATGAGTAGTAAAAGTCTCCTAGTGTCCATCTGTCCTGCCACCCCCGGTTCCACCTCTGGCTAGTTAAATAACTGGACTTTGGAGTCGGGTCAACCAGGGGCTGGTCCAGCTCTAAAGCATCCCAGCTGAGTAGCCCTGGGCAAGTTGCCCACCCTCTCTAAGCTTCTCATCTTAAAAATGGAAGTGAGAATGAGACCCAACCCCGAAGGTTGTTGTGAGGATTCGATGAGATCATGCAATTAATCTTTTTGAATAGTGCCTGGCATATAGTTCATACTCAGCCAATATTAGCTAATGCTAATATTTATTTTCATATTAAATAGTTGTAGTTGATAATATTATTATTGTGTTTTGGCTAAGGCAATGTTTGTGTATGTACTATCTGGAAAGAAAAATATCTGCTTCCTTTGATGTCCTACATTGCAGTCGTTTTGAAAATTAAGATCAGAAGACAACTCTAGATTTCTCTGATTTCACCACAGAATAACGAGGTAATTAAGTGTTCCCTGAAAACATTTTAAATTCTAGTATTCAACACCAGAAAGAAAAAAAAAAAAGCCTATTTACTTCCTGAATACAGATACAAACAGAGATAAAACACAGCTGCTATTATCGCCCCATGGGCACCATCTCTACTTGGTACCAAAAGAGATAATGATCTTGCAGTATAATTTTCTAAGGAGGTAACAAAATCAATTACATTATCCCAAGTGTAAACACTGAAGCCCTTATCTTGTTGCTGGTTAAGATAGGCTGTAACTGTGGCAGCTGCTCACCCACATTATAGATTATTTTAGATGAAAAAAACATGGGCTAATTCATGAAGATCTGACAGTATAGGAGTATAGATGGCCTTAGAGCTTGATATTTAAGAATGAGACCAGCAATACAATTGTCGAATGAACTATCAACACAAAGTGACCGTGGACACAAGTGAAGGCAGTGATGGACAAATAATTTGGATCGTTTTCCATTATTAAATGGTAAAGTCCTCACAAAAGCAGGAACAAATCTACAAAACCTCTAGGTTCACTGAAATTCCATGTAATCTTATAAAATATTATGAACCATAAAAATAAAAGGCCAGGAAGAAATTTAGGAGGCTGTAGGGATATATTGTTTCCATAATTGTTATGATTGTGGGGCCAGTAGGATCTTTTCCAAGGTGGTGATTAAAGTAGAGAAAATCTTTTTATGGAATTTAAACTTCATATAAAAGGTTAATTTATAGACATTCAAGCTTATAACGTAAAATCAATAGTTATGATCCTCTATAAGCGGGTTCATGAGATTTCACAGCCAGACAAATCTGCTTTATAAACTCAATCCGGACACAAGTTGAGTGATTTTGGACAAGTTACTTAACTAAATCTTTCAGAATAATCGTAAATACCAGGTAGGATTACTGTGAGTATTAAATAAAATAACTGTGCTAAAATTGTACTTAGCATGTAGGAAACACTTGAGGATAAATAAGACTTGTTTCTTTTCTAAGTTTTCACATATTTATATGTTTCTTATATCTCCATCTGAAATAGGATATTTATTTTAGCTTGATCCAGTGACTCTGTACTATTTATTTCAATTGCAATATGTAGATTACTCTGGTTTCTGTATATCTTAAATTTAACATTCATTTTTAAAATTAACACTCTGTCCAAAGGGGAAGTCATTTGGAGTAACTCTTGTTTTCTTTTGCTAAGCTCAGAAACTTGGCAGAGTTAACCTAAGACTGTTTAATCAATAGAAAATACTTAAAGACTTTCAAATCCACAAGTAGCAATGATATGATGTAATTTCTTCTTTGTTTTTCCTTGTCTCATTTCCTCTAAAAGTTTTTCATTACCTTATATTTTAAATAAAGCAAAAACTGGCTCATGGTTGGCATCTAATAAGTGTTTGTTGAATTGAGAGGGAAGAAAATAAATATTTTAATTGTGACTAGAGGCAACAGCTCCTCAATGGAGGCCAAACAGACTTTGACTAAATTACTCAGGTTAGAGAACATTCTCCCACCTGCTTCTTATATTCATATGAAAACTACTTGAATAAATTTCTTGGGATAGGAGAAGGGTTACATTAATTACATTGTAAGGGGAGGCTAAACAATTTATAGCATATTTTTATCTACAGTTAGGGTTTTAGTGTTAAAAGCACCAAAGAGATGAAATGGCTCAACCTCCTTAATTTATAGAGGAGGAAACCAAGTCCCCAATTGTTTAAATGGCTTTATCCTGTGGTGCTGAGCTGCGATAGAAATTCATTCCCTGTTTTTTTACATTCGAGCCAGCTCCTTACCTCAGAGCACTTGTTTTACTAAAACTTTCATCCATTCTAGGAGCACTTATATATCTACAAGAAAATATACAGGAAAATAAAGACTAAAGTTGAGAATATCAGCTTTTGGATCAGAGAGATCTGGTTTCAAATCCCTTCTCCATCACTTACTACCTATGTGACCTTGGCCACGTTGTCCAAAGTATTTGTCAAGTTAACCTAATCTCTCCATGCCTCAATTTTCTTATCTATAAAGAAGGGATGGCAAATTCTTGTCCTCTTCAAAGTAGAAATTACAAAACTTCATATATTTCTTATTGATGATAAATGTAATAATGTATTTAAAAGATTATCACCAAACCAGGTGCATACTAAGTGATCAGTACATGTTAATTGTTATTACAATATAAATTAGAAGTGGGAAGGAAAGTTGAAGGGAAGTGAGGTAGGCGAGGATAGTCCTATATTTTGTTAACAGTAGGCCACAAATTTGGCTCTAAGCTTCCTTTCAACAAACACAGAGAAAGAAACATGACTGATTACATAGCTCACAGAGAATGTAGTTGTCTGGCCAAACCAGAATCACCCTCTTCTACCCTCATCTTTGAATTTCCACACAAGATCTCTTTCTATTAAACATAGCAGTGTATGTTTTACAGGCTTGTTGTGTTTAAGGGTTGTTCAAGTTTGCCTGACTGTCTCTTAGTATTTTCTACAGAGCCTCTTCCCTACCTCCAGCTTTTTGATAGCACCCGTAGGAGAGAATCCAGCTAAGTGTCTTCCACTTAGCATATGCCATTCTCAGGAAGGCCAAAACCTTGGAGGTGGCCAGGGATGAATTTTGAGTTATGTAGCTTCTTTACTTCACCCACATCAGGCATTCTTTAATCACGGGGACCAGCCTTATCTTTACATGTTCACTCATTGTATCTTACAGTGAGTGAATAATGGATGCTCAGTAAATGTTTATGATGTGCAGTAATAAATGAACAAGTATGAAGGAGTTGCTAGTGTGAAAGCCCTCCTGTTTTAGGGCCTGGTTGTAACAGAAGGATTATTTCAGGCAATACGAATTTTTTTTATCAAACTCCGATGATAGCGCTCAGGGCTTAAATCTGAGTATTTTAAATGAAAAATAAAATCTATATGAACTCTTCTTCCCTGGGTACTGATGTGCAACGACTTGTGTTATTAAATGTCAGAATGAAATAGAACCAGTTTTCTTAAAAAAAGAGAGAAGTATAATTCTAGCACCTCTGGTATCCTTCGGAATGGGTATACTAATCAATTACCTTTCAAGACACGTACATTATTATAACTTCTGTAAAGTCATGGTCAAAATCTCTTATCTCAAAAAGATAGTATACCTCTGTCACCTACAGAGGAAAAGTAGAAAGATTATGCTACTGTAAAAATATTTTTAAATCTGCACATTGAAATTATATAAAAGGACTTAAATTTTCTTTAGATAATATTTAAAATTGCTTATTTTATATATTTTCCTTTCCGTGTATCTATTAAAAATAAGAATCAATTTGTTTTCTCTAAATAATCATTCCTAAACCAATCTTCCTTGAGATTCTCCTCACCCAAGTTAATAAAATTGAATGAGAGATATATTAACATTTATTCAATGTGTTGTTTTTTTTCCTTGCTTGTTTACAATTAAGTATCTTCAGTTTAATTTACAAGCTGGGAATTCTTTAAATGTTAAACAAGAAAATAAATTGAGAGGTTGTTTGAGATAACTGAGGCTCACATAGACTAGCTGACTTGTTTCCATATGCTATATTTAAGCCTGGATTCAAATTTAGAATAGGATTTTATTTGACCAAGACAATAAGTCCTCGTAACCCTTTTCTCCTTTCCCAGCCCCGTTGCTTTTACTCTGTCCGAAGCCAACATGTCACTGAAAAATGAGCCAAATGTAAATACCTCTGCACTGAAGAAAATCGCTGCTGATATGAGTAATTTAATAGAACACCTGGACACTCGGGAGCTCCACTTTGAGGGAGAGGAGTTGGAATGTGATGTGTCTCCTGGCGATCCCAAGATACAGGAAGGTAAAGACTGATGGTCTTAGTGAGGAGGGGAGAGTTTATCAGGGTTGCTTGGCAGAGCACAGATTTGAAACAACCAACAAATGATTGATGTTTCCTTGCTGATGTCATTACACTGGGTTCAGACTGTTTCATGAACTGTTTTCTTGTCGCATGTTATGATTCTTAAAAAAGATGCCTGTAAAGGGCGTTATACTAATACCATATATTCTTGCAATAACTTTACTTATTTATTTTTTAGTGTATATTCCTTTCTCTGCTATTTATAAGACTCAAGGATTTAAGGAGCCTAATATACAGACGTACCTCTCTGGCTATCCCATAAAAGCCCAAGTTCTGGAAGTGGAGCGCTTCACGTCTACGACAAGGGTCAGCACATTTTTGGACTCACTTCGTGTTAGTTAATATATATGAATGAACACACAGACTTCCGTTTTCCTTCCTCCTAGCTATGCCTATGTTTTAAGCTTTTTGTTTGTTTTTTGTTGCTGTTGTTTATCACTTCCAAGCTCCCATCATTTCCCCAGATTTTGCTTCCTTCACATTTAGTGTTTATTCTCATATGCCTATTTCCCCATTCTGGAAAATGCTTTTATAAAAAATCATTTAATGCAATTTAGAAGTTTACTGAGGCTCACATAGACTAGCTGACTTGTTTCCATATGCTATATTTAAGCCTGGATTCAAATTTAGAATAGGATTTTATTTGACCAAGACAATAAGTCCTCGTAACCCTTTTCTCCTTTCCCAGCCCCGTTGCTTTTACTCTGTCCGAAGCCAACATGTCACTGAAAAATGAGCCAAATGTAAATACCTCTGCACTGAAGAAAATCGCTGCTGATATGAGTAATTTAATAGAACACCTGGACACTCGGGAGCTCCACTTTGAGGGAGAGGAGTTGGAATGTGATGTGTCTCCTGGCGATCCCAAGATACAGGAAGGTAAAGACTGATGGTCTTAGTGAGGAGGGGAGAGTTTATCAGGGTTGCTTGGCAGAGCACAGATTTGAAACAACCAACAAATGATTGATGTTTCCTTGCTGATGTCATTACACTGGGTTCAGACTGTTTCATGAACTGTTTTCTTGTCGCATGTTATGATTCTTAAAAAAGATGCCTGTAAAGGGCGTTATACTAATACCATATATTCTTGCAATAACTTTACTTATTTATTTTTTAGTGTATATTCCTTTCTCTGCTATTTATAAGACTCAAGGATTTAAGGAGCCTAATATACAGACGTACCTCTCTGGCTATCCCATAAAAGCCCAAGTTCTGGAAGTGGAGCGCTTCACGTCTACGACAAGGGTCAGCACATTTTTGGACTCACTTCGTGTTAGTTAATATATATGAATGAACACACAGACTTCCGTTTTCCTTCCTCCTAGCTATGCCTATGTTTTAAGCTTTTGTTTGTTTTTTGTTGCTGTTGTTTATCACTTCCAAGCTCCCATCACTTCTCCAGATTTTGCTTCCTTCACATTTAGTGTTTATTCTCATATGCCTATTTCCCCATTCTGGAAAATGCTTTTATAAAAAATCATTTAATGCAATTTAGAAGTTTAATAAATTGCAAAGTGGCTCTCCTAGTCCTGCTCTCTCCCCAGTTTTCTGTTCAATGTGGACTCCTGGGGCATAACCATTCTATCTAGAATGCCAGATACAGGACAAGGACAAGTTTAGCTTTCCTAGTGCTTGTTTAATAAGAATTTAATGATGCTACCTGGCTCTTGAAAGAAAAAAAGCCAGAGTACTGGATTGGCTGGTGCCATGACCCAAAAGTTCTGCTGAGAGACTTCTGTTGGCATACTCCACCTCTCTGATTTGTTCCTGGCACCTGTCCTTTAGGCCCCATATTTTTCCCTTTAAGTGCTGAATGGCATTGGGAGTAAAATGCCTTCATCAAGCAAAGCTGCACCCTTTGAAATGAAGTGGACTAGGAGAAACGTTTGCTCTGTTTTTTCCTGGTTTTGCAGTTGTCAGGTCTGATGGATAGGGAGTGTTGCTGCAGGGTAGTGGACTTTGTCCCTTCAGGATAATCTCTGGCCACCAGAGTAGGCCACCATTTTCTCCTGCCTCAGGGGAAGTTTAGTGTAACCTTTCTGCCTGGGCAGGCTTTGCCTTTCCTTCCTCCTTGTCTTTTGGAGGGTGGCATGTACTGTTTGGGTCCTGATGACTTTGCCTAGTGCTCTCTCCTGACCTGCCTCTGCATATGTTGACATCCATGTTGGTGTCCTGCCTTTCCTTTAGGCTATTCTTATGTGTTGGGTCCATATCTCCCTGTATACCATTGAGCACCACCACCCAGAAATGTCTCTAAGATGACCTTTGCCTTCTTATTCTGCCTACCAGCTTTTAGAGTGAGAGGTGACGACATGTGGGGGTTAAATGCACAGACTCCAGAGCCAGACTGCTGGTTTAAGTCTTGTCTTTACTTTGTGATCTCCTGCAAGTTACTTAACCTCTCTGTTTCTCATTTTCTTCATCTGAATAAATAGTGCCTACCTTATAGGTTTGTTATGAAGACTTAATAATAATAATAATAATACATAGTATTATACTTATATATTATATATTGTATTATATAAATATATACTGTATAATACTATATATGATTATTAGGTATCTCCTAAAGTTATTAATGAAGATAAATATTTAAGCAACCAAACCATAGACTTCTCTTTGCATATACTCTTCTCTTAGTCAAGTGAGTTTGATTTAGTTCTGTTTTGAATCAGTCTGGGTGAGAAAGCTAACGGTCATCTTTATCTTACTTAGCGTTTCATTTACTAAAAAGTATGAACTAAATTCATGCAGTTTGAATGTGATTCCAGGTAAATAAAAAGAACCCCTTTTCTAATGACTGAATACATTCTATGTGCCAGCTCACGGCCGAGTACTTCTCTGTTCACTCTTGTGACAACCCCATGATACAGATGTCATCACCCGCCCTCCCAGGCTGGAGATCTTCCACTTGCCCCTCCAGCTCCTCTATGCACCCTGCTTCACCCTGGTCTTTGCCTTTGTCCTCTGGTAACACTTAGATGCTGGAGAGCCCAGGTAGGAGATTGGGATCACCTGGGCTGACCGTGTCCCTTGACCAAAGGTACCCCTCTTCCAGCCAAAGCAGCCCTTTTTGCGTGGCTCTCTCCTTCCCATGCTAACTCTTGGTCCTGCCATTTGGCCTTTCAGGACTAGGGATGCCTCCACAAGTCCCAGGTAAAGAGGACTCTCTTTGTGGTTTTCTTACCCTATCACACCTTCATAGGCAGTCCGTTTATTAAAACTCCTCAAATTGTTCCAATTCCCAAGAATTCCAGTAATTCTGCTGGGATGTTGTCTAACAGAAGTGACACTTGGCTGAGGCTTCACAGCCAGTATAGGCTGCACCACAGGGTTTCAAACTTTTACAGTCTTCAAAAAGGATGTGGCAACCTGTGTCCATTGTATCGCGTACTGCCTCACAATTGCTAAGAAATTTAGTTTACAAAATTTTGGATTTCTGTGTGAGGAATAAAACTTGGCATTTGCAATGTTTGGTAGCTATTCAGTTTTCTTAGACTGGGAAATATTCTAGGACATGTGGCAGTTTGCCCACATTATGTAATTTTTCTTATTTATCTTAAATTAAGAATTGTTCACTTGAATGTACAGTTTCTGGCCATTCCAAGTTTTTCTGCATCTTTTTCTGTGAAACGATGCAAGATGGTACCTATAATGTTAGCCAAGGTGAAAGATAGCATATAATATTGAACCCCAGAACTCAATTTCTTCAGCTTCTGGTTGTAGTAACTGTCATGAATCCTAACTAGGAACAAAGCAAGTGCTAGATTGGAATGTTTATCCACCATATGGTTGAATTCCAAAATTAAGAGTTCAAGTTATATTGACTCTTGTGCTCTTGTTTTATAAACTATTTACACAGAGTGGTCATGATTTAGAATTTTGCAACATATGACAAACATTGGTAATGAATGGCAGCAGGCTAGGAATCACCCATGGAGTTGCTGATACCAGATCCTGGATAAGCCAGCAGAGTAGAAGACATTTACTTTCTCCCACCTCCAACACCTATGGTGCCTAAATCCTCCAGGTGGTCCAGAGTGCCCATTCCCCTGCACCCCTCTCCCAGACACACCATGAGAGCTTCCTTCAGTACCTCTTATGCTTTATAAATATCTCTCTGTCTACTGACACCTTCTACTATGTCAAAACTCCCATCTCCCCAGTCTGTTAGCTCTTCTGTTTGAAATAATTCACTAGTCACCAAGATATATTGGCATTTTAATAAGGAATATTTTGTTTGTTTGTTTTATTTTTAAATTTTTATTTTTTTTATTTCCATTTTTAAATTTTTAAATGGAGATTCATTTTAGTTAAATTGTTAGGGAAATATTTTGTGTGTAAAAGATCTTTTCCTCCTTTTCTCTAATAGCCTGTACCTGTACCTTCCAGGTCACTGGTGGTGCTTTAGGACAGGGCTATGTTGTAGACAAGGATGGGCTTGGAATGCATTTCAGAAGAAGATATAGTGTCATGTGTGAAGGGCAAGAAGTGGGCTGAGAGGGTGCTCTTGGAATCCATTTACTCCAGCTTCTCTTTCAGCCCATCCAACTGTCTTCTCACTGCTTATACTTTTGGAATCCCCTGTTGGTTCATTAGGGCCTTTACTCATTGTCTCCTTTACTTGGTTTTTGGTTTCGGGTGTGTATGCATGAGTGTGTGTGTGTGTGTGTGTGTGTGTGTGTGTGTGTGTGTGTGTATTTGGAGCAATGGGATTTGCAAGAGTTTGTCTTTGGTGTGATTCTGAGTTTGTCTTATGTGTATTATAAGGCGAACATTTGAGAGCATTATTCTGTAATCGATTGATTTTGAAAACATTTTTCTTAAGTACTGACACATAATAAAGTAGGCTAGATTTAAGGGTACTTCCATGTTACTTATTAGCTATTGTTCATTAAGAGATTTCAGAATTTTTGTTGTCATCTAAAACACTAACCGTTTTTATTTATCACTATAGGTACGAAGCATCAATCTTTACACTATTGAATTGACACATGGGGAATTTAAATGGCAAGTTAAAAGGAAATTCAAGCACTTTCAAGAATTTCACAGAGAGCTGCTCAAGTACAAAGCCTTTATCCGAATCCCCATTCCCACCAAAAGGTAACTGTTTCAGAATTAATTATAAGGTTATTTCAGTGTTCAAATTGGGTGGAAAGAGTATTTTATTCATATCATGGGTTAACTAGTCCATTGTTGGTGGATATTTTCTATTAAATAGGCTCTTCTAACAATGAGCTATCTCGTGAAAGATACTACAGAGTCATGCCTCAAAGTCTATTCTAATAATGTTTGCATTGTGTGTGTGTGTGCATGTGTATGTTTTAGACACACATTTAGAAGACAGAATGTCAAAGAAGAGCCTCGAGAGATGCCAAGCTTGCCCAGTTCTTCTGAAAACACGATAAGAGAAGAACAATTTTTTGGTAGAAGGGTAAGTCCTTCACTGTTCTGTTGTTCTGAACATCATTTGCAGTGCTGTAGAAACATGGTGTCTGCTGAGGGGTCAGGTGGGCCTGGCTGCAATTTCTCTCACCCACTGATCCTCACCTAGGCTGGTTTTGCTTCTCTGGAACTAGTTAGGCAGCCCCTTCTTTCCTGAGCCATTCTGACCCTGCATTTTTCCAGAAGAGGGAGAGTGTCTCTATTAGGAGTCATATGATGAAGAAGCTGTCCTCTTTGAGGAACCTCTTTGAGCTCGTTGTGAGTCAAGATTGAACTCTTTCCTAATTGAGGGTTTTGAGATCCAGTCTTTTAAAATCCTGTATTTCTATATGTTTGCTTCAGAATTTTCAGTAGCTTGTCTTAAATATATGTAAAATCTCATTTCTCAACTATAGATGGGGCAGTTGGGGTCTGAAGGGTAAGACAGAGACACAGGCATGCACAACAATAGGACAGAAACTTCAGGAGGAGTGACGCTACTGCCTGCTAGGCTTCAGTAATACATTGCTACTTGGAGACTAATTTTTTTTTTTTTTTTTACTAGAAAATTAACAAATATCAGTTCTCTTTTGTAATGTGGAACTTCCATGTTCTGAAGAAGATGCTTGATTTGTACTTCGTTGTTGTCATCTTGTTTGAAATCTTTTTAGGGATCTGGAATACAAATTTTCAAAGATACCTAGATAAATAAAATTATACAGTTTGGAGTTACTTGTGTATATATGCACAAGTGCATATACTTTGGAGTATATAAGTTTGGAGTTACTTGTGTATATATGCACAAGTGCAGTTGAAAATGATACACTGTGTCTTTAATAGTTAGTGCTTCAGTGTGGATCATAGTCAGTAGTTGACATCCTCCCCTTACATGTTAACATATTTGAAATCAGGGTACAATTTAATAGAAAGTCTTTTTTTACTTAACCTCCCTCCTCCCCCCCCCCCCCCCCGAAAATCTATTTTAAAAATTGCAGTATATATTCCAGTAAATTCAGTGTTGGAAGTGAGGAAATTCAGTTTTTTGATAAAATTAACAAATGTTTTAAAACCACTTACTATAGCCAAGTCCCGTGCTAGTAACTATAGAATATACAGCTGGGCCCTTGTCAGCAGATTATAAAAAACCCAAGTGTGTGAAAAATTAAATAGCAAGAAGAGATTTAAATAATGGTTCAAGGGAACTATGGAAATTACTTCTTAACTCTATTCAGGATTTCTTGACCAGTGACAATATTAAAAAGTCGTTGAATAACTTACAGAAGTTAAGATGGACTGATGATCACATTATCATCCTTAACTTTAGAATTTTTCTATAAGTGTGATATTATCTCTTATGTAAAATATTTGCATTGCAGAAACAGCTGGAAGATTACTTGACAAAATTACTAAAAATGCCCATGTATAGAAACTATCATGCAACAGTAAGTACTATTTAGTTATTTTAATTTTGAAGTAATTTATAAAATCATAAATTGTCAGCTAAATTTTGGATCATTTTATTAACACAAGTGCTTATATCCACTTCAGCATAATTCCTTGCTTTAAAGTAAATGAAATGAATACAAAATTGATTTGACAGTAAGGATCTAAGTTATGGTGATGCTATTTTAAAAATAGAAAATATAACAATATGTTTATAACAATAGATTTAAATGAACTTGAAATGCTGCTACAGGCTAGACTGCCTAGAAATCAACCTCCTTTTTTTCTTCCTGCTTCCAGAATAATGTCCCCAAGCATTTCTAAGCCTGCAGAAAAAACATTAAGTAGGAAGTGCTGAAAACAGTTGAGCTGAGTTGAATACCCAAAGATTGTACAGATCATACTGCTATTGCCATCTGACTGGCTTGTGATGCTTATAAAAGGCCTGTCTTTTCATGTGAAAGTGAGACGCATGGGAAAAGCCAGGGAGAGAAGAAAGTCTTGGGCAATAAGAGGTGGTGGGGCTTTGAAGCTGCTGGGCACAAACAGGAGTGAGCGGGCTTCACAGAGGTTATCGGGAAACAATGAACTCTGCTCCTTTAGAGGCCCTGGAAGGTGCAGTGTTTTGAAAGGGTTAGGATTCAATTATTTAAATGTCCAGATATCTGAGAATGCACTGGATTATTATATTTTGTGTCTGTGTTTATATGAACTGTATAGCTGTAGGGTTGAATGTATGTATGTCGTGTCTGTGCAGAACTTAAAAGTAGGAGCAGTTGTGACTTGGCCTCCAGTTTAGAGAATGGTGTCACATAAATACTAAACAGAGAGAGGGAAGCCCTCTATGTTTTTAGGAGAAGAAGCAAGAGCGCCTTGACTCTGGAGTATTTCGGTGACTTGCTGCTGCTCCCTTGCCACCTGCCCGCATATTATTTGCAGACTGGGGCATGCACCCAGCAGGTCCCCTTTCCGCACAAATGACCCAGGTTGACCATGGCCCACTTTCTGTAGCAGCTTACCCTGTGATGTTTGATGGACTTGAGGGAGCTTCTATTGTTTCATACCTGGAGGGGAGTTTTCTAGGGAAACCCAATATTTGGGTCCAACCAGGGGATCTCAAAAGAAGCACGATAGGAAGAATTTCTTCCCATTTAGGACTCAGCAATGTGCAACTTCGGAAGACCGTAACAAATAAGATATTACTGCTCTTATTACTAAAAATGCTGCTTCCTGTTGTGTTCTCTGCAATCAGATATGCTGTTTTCTTTAATAGGGAATTATTCAAATGTGTACTAGTACCGCTATGCAGTAATTTTCTATTTGTTTCACTTTTCTGCCTTCCTGTGACTTTACTTTTCCTATTTCTTTTGGCTCTAGAACAGTACTTTGTGAGTTAGTCTTCTCTTTCTACATACATTACTACATTTTGGATTCTAATGTTGATTAAAGAATGTTTACATTTAAAAAAAATGTTTATTTTAATTTCTTTTCCAATCATAAAAATCTTTCCAAAGTTGACCCATGTTGTATTTAGAAATTTCAGAATGTCTTCCAGATATTTCATAGTACTGGAATCTATGTTACTCCTAGTTTTTGATGGCTGCTTAAATTATTCCCAACAGTGGAACTCTCCAAAATGATTCAAGCATAGGATACAGTTTGATGTCTTAATTCTCTAACATTATTTTCCTTTCATACCAAATGTAATTTGGCCTAGAGACTAGATTTACAAGCCGCTGTCTCATTTATAAAATTAGGTTGGCTCTATGTATATCCTTTGATAATTGTGAGAAGTATTAAAACTCCTGTCTGTAAAAAGCATATTAAAAGTTACTTTTATATAATCACATGTAATTGATTTGTATTTTTGTAAGTGTGAAACAGACTTATTGGAAAGTAATTTGGGTCCTTAGGCCAATAGGATCATGTCTCATAGGTCAAGGGATCACATAGAATCACGTCCCTAATTTCAATAAAATTTTAATGAAATTAGACACGGCCAGCTTTTTCTTCCTACTTTTATATTGTTGTTGGTTGGTTTAGGAACTTCCTTTTCCTCCAAGAGTACGAAGACTTCCTTTGCTTTTATTCCTTTTTGTCTCCTTGAGGTTCTGAAAAGCAAGGTGTCCCAGTGTTTTAGTAGATTTAACATCAGATCGTTTCCTCAGAGATTATTGGTAATTCATTCTGTTTTCCTTACTCATTTGTCAAATGGGAATAAATGTATTTGGCCTCTTCTCAAGGCATAAACATATTTTTAAAAAAGAAATATTATTCAATTCTACGGTAACATATAAAATCTCAAACAGGATTTCTTTCATGTTCTGAATTGTACCACTAGCTGGGCACTTACATTACTAACTGGAAAATGCTTGTTATCTTCCAGGGAATTTAAGGAGGAGTCATTAGAAACAATAAATGTACTTTTTTTCCTGACTGAAAATTCAAATCTAGAAATGGAACAAAATGCGTAATTTCCAAGAGAAGGGCCCTAAGCTGATAGGATGATATTGCTAACTTCAAGTAAATCATCTGACTCCTATAACTCAAAATCCTTATCTCCAAGATGATAATTAACTTGAAATCTCCATCTTGGAGGTAAGGAACCTGAGGATAAACATCCTACAGATAAGTAACACTGAGTTCACCTCTCTCTTGCTTTATAAGATGAATAAATTTAGCTCGAGGGGAAGAGTGGGTAAAGATTAATAAAGATGCCAGCAGAGGAAAGCTGTACTGATTTAAACATCTGCAAATTAAGGGAAGTGTTGCCATTCTCATGATTGAGTCTTAGAGCTGGGAAAGTCCACAAGCCTTGGTCCAGCCTCTAGTTTTTCTCCACAGATTAGCTGTCTTTGTTTTCTTCGGAGCTGTGTTGTTTTATCTGCAAGGCAGCCTTTCCCAGAGTAGTTGAGCCCATCTCCTGTTTTTACTACAAAGGCACTGCCCAACTCCATGTTCTTGTTTTCCTTGCTTCTGAGAAGTTCCCACTTGGCCACTTGCTTGAATTTTTGCTACCTCAGGAATAAAGGGGGTGCCTCTTCTGTTACAAAGATGAGCTAGAGAAGTGGCGTGTATGTGATTGCCAGGTAATTTCCAGGACTTATTGTTACCCCTAGGGCTTGTTGCTTATTCCTTGGCATAAGAACCCTTTGCTTCCCTGTTTTCCCAACATTTAATTGTACTTTTTACAAGTTCCTTTGGGGGAAATAAAAAGGTATTCATTAGCACGTTATTTTAGAGATCAATAAGCCTTATGACATATTGTCAGGCAAATTAATCATTAAATTCTTATTGCTGAGAATGACTTGCCCAAACGGAGAATGGAATTCTTAACACTAAAGATGCACTGAAATGTCTGGACAACACAGTCTTTGTTACATTTCATATTGTATTATTTAGGTTTGCTTCTAAATTGACCTTGCCACATTTATTTTCAATCTGATAAATCTGTATTAGAACATTTATTGCCAGATATTTGTCGATTTCTCTAAAATAGGGCCAGGTTTTTCTTGAAATCTCTCTTTAGTCAAACTTTACTAAACCATTAGGATAATTTAAATTTATATTAATGCACAACTTAAAGTTTTCTGCATTGCTAATGTATACTTTTAGTTGTTTTTTGTTTTTTGTTTTTTTAGGCGAGGCAACCCTTGATTGACCTCACAGATTGCAAGGACCTTGTCCACTGACAATCCCTTATTTTTTTATTTTTTACTCCTACAACACTTGCTCTTCCAAGGTGGTCTCCCATCCTAGTACTAACCAGGCCCGACCCTCTTAGCTTCCGAGATCAGACGGGATCAGGCTTGTTCAGGGTAGCATGGCCGTAGACTGTACTTTTTAATTTGCATGAAATTCTTTACACTTAGCAGTTTTGTTATGATGTTCTAAAGTTATGCTTTCTGAATTATTTCAAAAATTATTTCTGTTGTCAACTTTCTGATGATAAGAGCTACGTGAATATAAAATGTCCAGGTGTTAGATAAGTGGTTTCCTTGATATTTGCTTTTTATTTCCTAGTTTTCCATCCAATTGTTCTGTGACTTTGCATAAATTAGTCACACCTCTGTAGTTGTTTCTTCCAGTATAAAGTAGGGACAACATTTTCTCTTTGCTCCCTAGAGATAAAACGAGAGCTGTGGCTTTGGATTTTAAAACATTTTGGATTCTGTGGCTCAGAGTGCAGTGTCACTTCTAGTATGTGTTACTACATTTTCCCATTAGAAAGCATTTCCACAACCCAGATTAAAAATGCATGGTACTGAATCACTATGTTTTATATAAGAAATGAAATGCAAAGACCCTGACTTTTAAAATCCTTTTAAAGAATTTAGTGTGAAGATATGTTTTATTTGGGATTTTAAAATCTTTTTGAAATTTGAATACTTCCTCAAATAATTCTAAGAAAGAAATGCAAGCATTTAATTAAAATTCACAAGGACTGACAGCTCTGAAAGATTTGTAGTTTTTTCTTACAAAGTTAATATTAAATATTTCCAGTCATGTAAAATTTAAAGGAAAACTGTCGTGCTTCATTATTATTAATTTCATTTACAAGCCTCTGAGATGTCACATGAACTAGGAAGTGGTCAACCTGTCTCTATAACTCTATAACTTCTCTCACATGTAACTGCTACGGTTCTTCCCGTAGGACTTTGTTGATGAAGAGTGTTTGCCATGTCTGTTTTCCTGATGCCAGGAGCAAATATTTATTGTCTTTGATTTTTCTAGTATGGCTATTATTGACATGGTCTAAGACCATTGGCAGATCCAGGCTTACTGTGGCTATTTAAAAAAATTCTGTAAATTGAGAGCAAAATAATGTCTAACTATACAAAACAATAGCTAACCTTTATAACAATTATAACTATAGTTGTTTCAAAGTGCACATGAGGTAAAACTTCTGAATATGCTAAGAATTACATAATGTTTACTGGTTTTCCCTTCTGTGCCTCCATGTTTTCATCGAGCCCTCACCTAGCTTAGAATAAAGTTGCTCAATTTGAGTAAGATAAATGTTGAATGACTTTTTCTTTTGTAGCTTAGGTTTGAGGATACTGACTGGTCTGACATTTTCTGAATCTACCTCTTGCTAATTTTGTGATCTTGGGCAATTTACTTAACTTTTCTAAACCATAAGTTGGTGAACTATGGCCCATGGATCAAATCTAGCCCACAGTTTGTTTTTTTATGGTCCATGAGCTAAGAATAGTTTTTACATTTTTAAATATAGGAAAAAATCAAAAAAGAATAATATTTCATGACATAAAAATTATATTAACTTCATATTTTAATATAATTTAATAAAATTTAATGAATTTATAGTATATTTAATATAAAATATTATATTAAATTCATAAAGTTTTTATGGAATACAGCTATGCTTATTAATTTATGTATTGTCTATGACTGCTTTCATGCTACAGTGGTTTAACTACATGGTTCACAAAGCCTGAACCATTTACTGTCTCTTTGCCTACCCCTGCTCTAAACCTCAGTTTCCTCTTTTGTACAGTATGAAAAATAGCACCTATTTCAGAGAAGTTTGAGATAATACGTGAAAAATGCTTAGTATAGAACAAACAGATATTAAGTACTCAGTAAATGTTAGCCATTGATGTTGTTATTATAATTTTTATCGTTTTTAATCTCATAATTCATATAGCGATAGTGGACTGAAAATTCTCTTCCTTTATACTCAATAAAAAGATAATTATTTTTATATTATAACTACATATAATTTAATGTTTATATTAGAGTATTCTGGTGTTGCTGATGTTCAAAGACCTCTCTACTCTCCCCTTACTTTACTTTGCCATTTAATTTTCTGTTACTCTCCTTCATCCTTCACTCTAGCCCAATGGTACATCCAATGACCTCGTTACACCTTTCCTGTTTTATGTCCCCCTTCATCTCTTATTTCCACATGGCAAGTCTAGTTTATTTTCCAAACCTGGCACCAACATCACTCCCTTCTCACGAGCTTTAATTGTTTGTGTGTACACTAAGCCACACAGTTCTCTTCCCCAAAAGAGAAGCAACAAAAACAAACTCAAATGAATTTTGGGAGTAAACTCTGTCTCTACCACCTCTTGAGCATTTTGTCTCTACATCTTGGAGTACACATCACATTCTTGGTTGTGTTTTAATTATATACTTTTAATCTGTACTCTTTAGGGCAATACCATTGTCATTGATCTGTGTCGTCTGTAGAGTATCCCAGATGTGTTTACACATAGCAGTACCTAATGTGTGGTTTTTTGAACACATAAATTTCTTTTTTCTGACTTTTTAAAGTTTGGATTTTTGGCCTCTTTTCAGACAGAATTCCTTGATATAAGCCAGCTGTCTTTCATCCATGATTTGGGACCAAAGGGCATGTAAGTTCCTCTGTTGGATCTTTAGAGAGAAGTATGAAAGTTGATAAGCATTAATATTTATTGTCATGCCGTGATGATAGAATTCACTTGGTTTTACTGCTAGCTTCTTTTCTCCCCCTAACAGAGTCAGAGCAACAGAGGGGATCTATTTATGCAAAACAAATTATCTTGCTACATTAAACAACGGTGGTAACTGCTCCACCCTCTGTCTTGAAATGTGCGTACAGCACTGGTTTTCTCTAATCCAGCAGTTGGAATGTTTAATACAGGTAGCAGATATGATGTGTGAAAGAAAGCATTACAAATCAAACATACCATATTATATATTTTGAAAGCATTAGAAATCAAACATACTATACTATATATCTGAAAGAGAGTAGATCATAAAATTTCTCATCACAAGAAAAAAATTGTAACTGTGTCATGATGGATGTTAACTAGACTTATTGTGGTGATTATTTCCCATTCAGTGTACAAATATTGAATCAATATTATACCTGAAACTAATGTAATGTTATATGTCAATTATATCTCAATTAAAAAAATCCCTTCTTCTAATTACATATGAAAGTTAGCTGTTTATCACCTGTTTTCATGACTAAAAATAATACTGTTTAAAATGTATGCAACGCAGGGTTGAAATTTACTTAATGATTTCAAGTAATAATTTTAATGAAAATATGAGATTCTGATATTATAAAGAGCTTAACTTTTTTGGTAAAGATTATTGTTAGTGGTTGTTTTAAAATATTTCTTTCGTTTAGGCATTATTATAGTTATTTCTTTTCACATCTTTCAAAATCAAGATCTTTCTCTTTCCAAAGCTAAGAGCTTTGCTTTACTTTCTTTGCATGGCTTCGTCCTAGAACTGTAGGTGAAGTGGTGCAGAAATGCTTTGGCATTTGTGAGTGAGCACCTCCAATGGTTTCAGCAGCAACTGAACCATCTCCATGCAGGTGTTCGACAATGCGTGGGGTCTTTTTGAGGCTGTTAACAATGACGAGGAAAAGCTTCATGTTTATAACCAAAAGCCAAGACACTTAAGGTCTTGCAGTGTGCTCAACAGAATTATTCGGCCCCCAGTGCCAACAGGTATACACGTGACCAGAGTGCTTTAAAGATGAGCCTAGGAAATATGGTCCTGAGCTATTTGAGGGTGAAGGAGGTGAGGAAAGTCATTTGAGAATGAAACAGTTTATTTAGTCCCAAGTTGGAAAGCTGTATCAGCTGCTAAGAGCGAGTTGGAAATTTGAAGACAATGGGTTAACTTGATGTCTTTTTCAGAGAAGGCATGATAATGAAAAGATCCGGGGGACACAGGATACCAGGCTTGAATTGCTGTGGTCAGGGAAGAGCCTGCTACCGGTGGTCTAAAAGGTAGGACTTAGGAGTCTTGTGTTTTTGTTTTACTAAACTGGATATTTGAGGAGATTTACAGACTAGTTTTAAATTTAACTTAATTTAAATTATAAATTATAAATCCTTTGAAAATCATAGTAGAGAAAACTTTAAATTATTTTAAGTTCCAAGTTTCAACATAAATCAAAACCATAGTAAGATAAAACTTCTCACCCACTGGATGGCTATAGTAAATAAGATGGACAAAAATAAGTGTTAACAAAGATTTAGAGAAATTGGAACCCTCATACATTGATGGTAGAAATGTAAAATGGTGCAGCCACTTTGTAAAACAGTGTGCTGGTTCCTTAAAATGTTAAACATAGAGTTACCATATGCCCCAGCAATTCTACTATGTATTTACCCAAGAGAAATGAAAAATATGATTATAGCAAAACTTATGTGTGAGTGTTCATAGCAGCATTATTCAGAACAGCCAAAAAGTGAAAACAGCCCAAATATCCATCAACTGATGAGTGGTTAAACAAAAGGTGATTTATACTGTGGAATATTATTTGGCTATAAAAAGGAACGAAGCCTACTGATGGGTACGGGCTTTCTTTCTGGGCTGAAGAAAATATATGGAAATAAATAGCCATGATGGTTGCACAATTTTGTTACTATACTACAAACCATTGAATTGTATACTTTTAAAGGGGGACTTTTATGGTATGTGAATTTTACCTGAATAACATTTTAAAACTTTTAATAAAAAAAAAAGAAATATTGATATATGCTATTTCATGAACAAACCTTGAACATGTTGCAAATAATAATTTACTGAGATCTTGAAAAAATATTAAGAAATATGTATTATTTGAAAATAAACCTTGAAAAAGATAATATGAGCTCACGTGTAAACATGTAACTAAGCTATGTGTGTATTAAAAATATATAAACTTAAACCTGAGATCTATCTTTAAACATGTTTAAGATACACTACCAACAACAAAAACACCATTAAGTTGGGCTCTTATATTTTGGGTTTTGAAAGGATAGAAGAGATTAGAAAGAAAAGACATAAGATTAGACTAGAGAAAGTTAAAAATTTCTGTTACAAAACAATTTTACTAAAATAAAAAGAAATAATATACTATAAAATATTTGCTTTTAAATAAATTTTCTGGAACTTATATAAATGTTCCCATAAACCTGGGGTATAAGTAACATCACAGGAAATTCACAAACTCTCACTCGAGGTATCTTCCTCAGGGTTTAGAACCCTCGGGAGTAGACCAAACGCCAAGCCGGGAGAAGAGTGGAGTATACATCAGGCTGCCCCCGCCACTGCTTCCTGCCCCAAATCACGTCTCTCTGGGAGGTCGGTCTTCCCACCCACTGGGGCCCTGGTGCAGATTCCTCCTGAGCACTCCTTCCCAGTCCTTGACTTTCCCTAAGGTGTAGCTACTGCATGCCAAGCACAAGGTTTTGGACTGCAAGTACCTGCGAGTCTGAAAACTTGCTCTGGGCTGCCCGTGTGCAGAGGAGGCCAGAAGTGTTCATAGCTCCCAGGAGCAGCCCTGAGCGGAGGGCTGGCAGGAGTCCAGCCTCCTCACCCCTCGGGTGGGATGATCGTGCCGCAAGCTCTGCTCTGTCTCCCCGAGCTTCCTGGCGGGTTTGCAGCCTGACTGCCCACAATGAAGTGCATGGAAACACATCCTTCATGGCCCCCTTCCTGCTCTTCATTCCTGTTCTTCCCTACCCATGCTCCAAATAAGCTCCCTAATCAGCCACTTTGAAAACTACTTTCACTTACATCGTTGTCTCAGAGTTAACTTCTGGGGTAACCCAACTTAAGACTGTTCAAGAAATGGAAGACTTGGTCTGGTTCATTAAGTCATTTATGTAATGTCTGATGTTTGCCAGGTTGTATACTCGCTGCTGGGAAAACGGTGTGAACAGGACAAAGTCCCTGCCCTCACCCAGGTCTATTAGAGGGGAATGCAGGCGGTGGTGAAGCTGACAAGCAGTGTAAATGGTATCAGTGCAGGCAGTGACAGAGCTTTGAAGGAAAAGAAGGCAGTGGGGGTAGTGAGGGACTTGAGGACAGGAGAGGATGGCTTTAGCTCCAGCAGCCAAGAAACTTGACATTTGTTATACAAAAGAAATATACCTATTCCTGGCATTTCAACTTTGGATTAAATCAAGCTTCGACCAGGATGATCTAAGAATATATGATGTTCTTCCCTGTAACAAAATGCATCATCATTTGAAATTGCATAAATCTTCCCATGAAGATTTGAAGTCTTGGTTCTATATTAATTATATTTCCTGAGTCAAATTTGTGGTATATGAAATATTGTTATCAAATAAAGATGATAAGATATAGCTGACAAAGTTAGTTTAGAAAGTTTCCCTCAGTGGAAGACTATTAGTGTCTAAATGGGAGTTACTTTTTAAGGGTGACACTCATTCATAACTCTCTTTTTTAGTTTTATATAAAATAAAAACCATTCTGATTACTTTCTTATTTATTTTATATTGATAAATTGAGATAACGCAAATAGGGGCAATGAAATCTCACATTGTCCTTGTCTTAGGGATGTTGTAAAAGTAAAAGGAGAAAAAAAGAAAAGGCAAACAGCTAACATTTCTTCTCATGATTTTAAACATCTGCTTAAACAGCACATCTATCCAGCAACTTCTCTGTACTTGGTAGTGAACTAGATAATTTTCTTATCTCAAATAAAGAGACATATAGATGTTAAGAAATAAAGTTAGCATTTACTGAGCTATGAGGTAACCCAAGAATTTAAATTTTTAGACAGTGACAATGTCTAAATGATTTCATTTACGCTGAGACCCATTTGTGCAACTATTATTTAGGTGAGAGCGTTGCTTTGCCTGAAGACTTGCCCTGAGCTGCTGGTTAGATGCCAGTGGACATGACAGTCCCTGCTTTCATACACCTTACTTTCTAGTAGAGGAGACAGGCAATAAACAAACAGACAAATAATTCCAGATAGTGGTAAGTGCTATGAATAAGATAAACACGAGGGATTAGAGGGATGGGGGACAGAGTTTTTAGATTGAATAGCCAAGGAGGAAGATTTAAGCAGAGGGTTGATTGACAGGAACGGATCGTCCATCTGGAAAAAGCAATTTCTAGGCAGAGGAATAGCAAATGTAGAAGCCTACAGAAGAACAAGTTTGGTGAGTCTGAGCAATAGTCAGACTAAGGTGGTGGGAGAGAACAGTAGGAGATGATGCTGAGAAGGTGATGGCTGGCTCATGCTGACCCATCTGCATTTTAATGCCATGGCAAGTAGTAGCACAGGCAGGAGGCATTTTTTTAGAACAGACTATAATCTCACCTGGTTTAGAACAAAGAATATTTATAAAAGCTTAGATTTACTGGTGCCAGGCACTGTGCTAAGCAATATGCATGAGTCAGCTCAGATAATCCCCACAAACATGTAAGAGCTGGGCATTACTGTTACCCTTTTTTAATGGATTTAGACTTTAGGCTCAGTTGCCTAAGTTCACACAGTCAGACTGGTGGCATGGCTGGAGTTAGAGCCTAGGGAGGCTGACCTGAAGGCAGACGCTTGGCTGGTTGGTGGAGTCCTTTCTTGATGCATATCCTCTTGTTAAAGAGAGAAAAAAAAAAAAATCTATTGACAAAAGAGAGAAAGGGAAGAAGAGCTTTAAATAAAGACCAGGAGTCAGTTTGCTCTGATAGCTAATGATTTAAAAAGAACAACTCATCATTGTCAAAACAGAAACCATTATCATTCGTATATCCAGCTGTCACTACTAAACCAGGCCATATATCTAGGCTGCCACATGTTGGAGGGCAAGAGAGGAACCATTTACGCAGATGCCCCATGAATGTCACTCCCTAGAGTTGAGCAGTGCCCTGGCCGTGCAACACACCCAGCCCTCTCATTCTGTTGCTCAACAATGCTGTTTATAGCCTATTCAGAGCCTGTTTGCAAATTAGAGAAAAGGGCCCATTTCTGCACGATGATGCCGCCTACACTAGTGCCCTCCTTCAGCAGGCATCCTTGTGCAGGGCATGTCTGCACAGTGGTACCTCGTGGCCTATTCCTGAGGACGTTTTGTAGCCGTTGGCCCTGGTGGTTATGCCTTAAGCCTGTGCTCTCAGGAGCATTTCTGGGATTTGTTTTGTAATGGCAACGATGGGAGCTTGTGTACCTGGATATGGTCATCCCACTGTCACTCCACACTGTTGCCTCTGGTGTGGAGCTCTGGCAGGAACTGTCTCTGGTGCTATTCAGGTGTCTTTGACTTTCAGGAGGCAAGTTCACAAGCCTGGTATGTTTGACTTCTCAGACTGGCAAACCTGCCAGCTGTGGTTTTCAAAGCCTGTGGTTTCTTCCAGTCGGACAGCTGACCAGTGCTCTGGGCCTGTGCCACACTGTCTGCTCTCTAGCTTACGTCGAAATCGAGCTGAGAGACGAGACAGCAGCTAAAGAAAGAACTTTAACAGATATGTGCCCAATCTAATCTCTTTTAGCCTTAACCAAGGTTTGTCAATAGGCAGCTATGTGTCTGGACTCATAACTCAGCTATGGCCATTAGAATCACTGAGTTACCATTTGGTATCATGGCCTTAGCATTTATAGTGAGCAATGTTAAGACAATTCTTATAAAATATATAATTTTTGCATTTGCTGAAAATTATTGAGAATTTTATCCATTATATTATTTAGCTGCCTTATGCTAGGTCCCAAATGAGAAACCTCCTTTGGAATTTAATTTGGGCGAAAGGGAGACTTCTTTGTTTCTTTAATTTATTCATTTGATAAGAAAAACTAGAAAGCTCAAACCCACATTGGTGTGCCATTTTCATAATTATAATAGCACTGTTTTTAAGTATTTGCTTCCTGTTACCTTGACGTTTTGCTTTATTTAACATTATCACATGTATATCCTTTACTGTAAGTTATCCTAAGTTCATCCCATCCCCTTTTATTGGGAAGGAGATAGCCTAGATATATATTACATATATATATATTTTTAATGAAATGAAACTGTGGAAATCAATATAGATTTGTATCTATTAAATCCCAAATTATAAAGCCACTAAAACATAATGTGATTAATAATTTTGGTAAATATTTATTATAGATTTCTTTTAAATGCTGAGTTCTCATGTTACATTTACAGTATTACTTCATGTATGTTCATTTATTCTGGTCTTACCTATTTCATAATGTGCTTTATTTTGCTTAATATGTGATGTAATATGCTCATTGTTACTTTATTTGGTTATTGACCAAGTCGATGTATCACTTGCTGCACAGTTGCAGGCAAATATGAATTTATGGTGCTATGTTGCCATTTGTTATCACTTTATATCTCTCTTTCTTGCTCTTCCCACTGTCAGTGTCATGCTCATCATCTACCTCCTTACTAATCAAAGTGTGGTCCTAGCATGGGCATCACCTCTGAGCTTGTTAGAAATGTCTCATACCCTGCCTCAGACCTACTGAATCAGAACCTGGAGTTTGACAGGACCCCCAGGTGATACATATTCACAGTGAAGTGTTGTGTGAAGAGCTGTTCTGTATTATTGCAGCAGCTTGCTGACCTGCACACTACATCCCCCTTTCTCCTTCATAGCTTTTTTTCTGAAACATAGTTGCAAGGACGTTATTGCCCTGTTGCCTTCGCAGGGCGGAAGGATTTTCTTATTTAGTAAGCACTTGAGTGTTTTGTTAAAAACACAGATTGCCAGACCTTTTCAATGGATATTTGGTGGGACCTGGGAATCTATTATTGTTAACAAGCACCTGAAGAGATTCTGATGATCAGGCAAGTTTAGGAAACACTGGTTCCATGATATAAAATCACCCTCTCAGCATAGCCTTCAGGCTTTACTCAGTGTGTGACCTTTGCCCATTTTCCTTTCCTTCTCTCCGTGCCCAGCTCTCACCAAACTTTCCCAATACAAGCAGCATTTCTACTCTTTAGAGCCTTTGCGAACTCTTCCATGTGAGATGCATACCTTGACAACCAACTTTGGGCTCTATGTGTTAGGGTTCTTCCTGGCCTCGCTCGGATACCAACTCTTTAGTGAGCCACTAACTAGCTCATTCTCTTGGTCAGAACTGAGGCCTTCCAATTCCTTGCAACCATCACTGTTTGCTTTTCTTGTCTAATACCTATTCCATTCAGCTTAAAATTATCATCATTTGTGCCCCGCCAGCCTAGTAAGGTCCTTTGAGAACATGTGTGATTTATCTTTGTCCTGTTTCTACCTCTATCCTAACTCCTAGCTTATCATTGACCTTTCCGATTATGATGCTCTTAAATATATATTGAATTGAATGGAAATATACTTCTGAGAGATCATATCCCATTGAGCATTATTTATTAATGGTCTCTAAAACCACAAATAATTTGAAATGAACAACAGACTATGTGGAGTATCAGATGCTTACTAGATTTCTTTTTTTAAGGGAGATTCTACTTACTAAGAAATGTATTTGCCTCTTCTATGATATTTTATTTAGCAAATACCAACCCATTCCATTTTTCCAACAGCTGGGGCTCCTGCTATGCAACCTGCGAGTGCTACCTGCCAATATCAGGGGCATTTGTCCAGGCTTTGTCATTAGTGTTTAAAAAACTAATGTTATTTGGAGTTGCTTGGTGCCAGCACTTCTTAGAAAAACATAATAAAAAGGTTTGGGGTTGTTTTTTGTTTGTTTCACAGTCATTAAAAAAATAAATCCCCCATGTAAAAAGTAAAATAATGAATAAAATTATGCTTACCATCTGCTACTTGTTTTCTTCAGACTTGTCATATAATTTATTCTTTCTGTTTAAGTAAGTCAATGCAACTTTAAAAATCCTTATTATCTTCTCACAGGTGGTTGATAGTGAAAGATTCCTTTTTACTGTATATGAAACCAGACAGTGGTGCTATTGCCTTTGTCCTGCTGGTGGATAAAGAATTCAGAATTAAGGTGGGGAAGAAGGAGACAGAGACGAAATATGGACTCCGAATTGATAACCTGTCAAGGTAGAAATTTCAAATATTTTTAAACGAGTAAATATTTTTTGGTAAAAGTATTTTTACCAAAAACCCTGAAAAACAAAGTTTTTCTCTCAACCGTAAATGAAGGAGGTAAAACAATTTAAATGTTTGAAAATTTTTATTTAGAACACATTCTCAATTAAAAGTAATGAAACTACTTTTTTCTTGTAATAAATTTTTAAGAATAGACTATCCTTTGTGCAACAGTCAGAATAAACTATCTTGTATGTTGATATATGCCTATCTTAGCAAAACTGACTACTCAATACCATTTTGTAAAACAGATAAATTAAGGAGTCATAGTTCATATATTTAAAACATAAAATTTTACTTTATGAATTGATATCCTTTAATTAACAAGACACTTAAACAGTGATTTGATTTAGAAAAATTCTGTTTACAGACAGATTTTAAGAAAGATACCTTGAAAGGATACTCAAGTATACATTCACTATAGATTTTATTAGTGAGTGTGTATATGTCAATATATATGTTTTTTTTTTTTTTTCCTGAAAGATTGTAGTTATATAATATGTGTGTCTTTCTCTCTATATGCATTTGTCTCTATAAAGTTCATCCTCATGTTACTCATGTTGACTGGTGTGTGTGTGTGTGTGTGTGTTTATACACCTTTCCTAATATACATTTGCATGTGTGTGAGTGTACATAAAAAGATTTGGAGCTTCCTTATCACTTCTGACAATGGAAGGTTCAGGATTGGTTATTAGAAATGCAGAGGTGCTGCCATTAAACCTTCCTCCTGGTACTACATTTTTGTTTTGTGGAGGGCTATAGAAATCAGGCCACAATTCTCACTGGTCCCTGTAACAGATCCCTGAACCAGTCTTTGGGATCTCGGGGCTTGAATGTGGCATTTCGATTGGCCCTGGTGGCCTCAGAGTAGGGAAGGGATTACTCTACTAAAGCACCATCAGGATGGTGTTTCCAGAAGTGAAGGGAATGGACACTACAAGGCAGTACGAAAAGAAATGACCTCTACAGGAGCCAACACCTCTAACACTGAGACATAGGACCTCACCTTATACCTCTTCCGTTATCCTCCTCACAGCCTAGCGCAGCTCCAGGCCTATAGAAGGTATCTTTACACATGTTTGCATGAATGAATATGTAACCTGAACATTTATTTTGGGTACATTGACTATATTTTTAAATCTTGCCAAGAGTTTTTAGAAGTCTGCTCTTTTGATATAAGTAAGATGCTCTTTGCTTAAAAATTTTTAACTTATGTCTGCACTACCAAAACAAAACTGGGCATGTTTAATCCTTAAATTTATTTAAAGAGACAGAATACCGAGTGATCATTCTTTTCCACATTTTGCTTTTCTTTGAAGGACACTTATCTTAAAATGCAACAGCTATAGACATGCTCGGTGGTGGGCAGGGGCTATGGAAGAATTCATCCAGAAACACGGTGCCAACTTTCTCAAAGATCATCGATTTGGGTCATATGCTGCTATCCAAGAGAACTCTTTAGCCAAATGGTAAGAACTTTTCGCTCTAAGACTGTCAGAGTAATCACAGCATCTAATATTACAGTGGTTTAAATTCACCGGGAATTAGTTTTCAAAGCTGTGGAAAGATAAAACGCTTTATCCTTAACAAAGGCCTTTCTTTATTGGACTACCTAAGCATCAATTAGTTTTCCAATTTTTGTTTTCAAGAGTTTTTACAGTGAGCTTTAGATTTTGAAGTTTGATTTTAAAAGCTAACTTTGTACATTGTCTTACTGATGCAAATGGAATATTTAATTAAATCATTGGTCTGTTTTCCATCTCAGAAGAATAACCGTGTTTGAGTTCAACAGGAGGGGAGAATTCAGCTGACCCCGTGTGATAATGAGACCAATCAATTTGTTGTTCTCTCAGCAGAAACGAACTAACTGCTTACTTCTACCTACTTATTCTACCTTCCTATGTAACAGATGGAAGATGGTATTTTCTGTCCTTGTTTTCCAGTTACACAAAGTAAACTGGTGGCTGCGTAGGGACTCTGGGCAGTGGCTTCCATCTTTAGCCTTGCCATAAGACATGTGTCTTTTCTTCTTTGTTTTTGTAAAATAAAAATGAAAAAAAAACCTGTCTTCCAGGTATGTTAATGCCAAAGGATATTTTGAAGATGTTGCAAATGCAATGGAAGAGGCAGAAGAAGAGATTTTTATCACTGATTGGTGGTTAGTATTCATCTGTGGGGATTGCGTGGGGAGGTCTCTGCGTTTAGGAATGTACTACAGTGTTGTGTTGTTCCAGCTTCATACGTTATGAAAACCGGCAGTAGCTGCAGGGGATTTGGCCAGAGTCTTGACAGTTATCTCCAATAGCCAGTGAAAGGTCTTTTCAAAATACTAGGCATCCAGATATTTCTTGAAATATTTAGCTTGAACAATTTTGTATTTGTCTTTCTGTTTGGAAGCAGACAGCCATTATTCATGTTAGTAAAGGTTATGTTGCAAAGCAAATATAGTGGTAGAGACAATGCAAAAATAATCTTCCTTGGGTGGTCTTCCTCATTTTGGTATGTTTGTCACCAGGTCCAGTGAATATACTTTTTCTGAATTGTCCCTTTGAAATTAAAATGATTTCATTTGATCATTAATGTTAAAATGCCCTTGGTAATGACTAAGCCTGGTGAGCTTTTTTAGAGATACGGCAGGTTTCAACTTTCCTACTCCCTTTAAAAATATCCATGAGCTTTAGGATGCTTATTAAAACACAAGAAATCTTATATCTAAAACTCATTCAGCTCCTGGGAAACCTTACTCCTAGAGTTGGGGTAGTCGGACTTTAAGTTCCATTTACCCATCTGCCTGGACAGTTAAAAACCATTACAGATGCCAGCATTGACTATGATGGAGATGAAAATGTTTAAAATGTGTTTTCCTTCTAAGAACTTAGTTGCTTGAAATGCCCCTATTTTTCTCTATCCTGTTTCTTTCCACATGCTACCTTATATATGAACTGGAAAAATGTCATCAAAATTTATCTCTTTCTCATTCTAGATTTTTTGAAGGGCAGAGGGAGAGTAGTTAGGAATGTGAATTCATTTTCTTCTCTTTTGCTTTACTGGTATGAAGCCATAATTCTCGGGCATGCTTTTTCAACCAAGGACCTACTGGAATTGGGTCAGATGACTCTGTTGTGGAGTATTGTCCCATGCATCATAAGATGTTTAGTACCATCAGTATCTCTGGCTTTTATTCATTAGATGCCAATAGCAAGATCCTAGTGATGATAACTGAAATGTCTTCAGACACTGCCAGATGTCCACTCGGGGCAAAGTCTCTCTTGGTTGACAGTCATTATCTAGAGCAATAGATAAGGTATGTGCTGGCCAGCACATCTACAAATCAATTTATTTTCATGTTTATGGAGGACCTTAATCTCGACCTTTACATTCTTGCTGAATTTGTCTCTTCAGTCAGTTATGAGGCATAAAATAAAGTTTCCGACTTAGGCACTATTTATTTGGTTGAATACTTTCTAAATACTTATGGAAATAAATTCAAGTTTAATGTTGTACTATATTTCTTTAAAATATTTCTGGAAGTTTGATGAAGACATGAGAGAGACTGAAAATAGTTTTTCCACTGAGCCCAGGTTTTTATGTTTTATGCAACAAAATAATATCCCCCTTGAAGATTCCGAACACTAAAATACAGACTCACATATAAACATCTAAAGAGATGGAACCCTGAATGCTTTCTGCTGTCAGAAAAATGAATCAAGTTATTTCTTTTTCCTGACTAAACTAAGATAACATCTTATTACAACACTCTCTTTGAAATAAAACCTTTGCAGTAACTTCCCTCATAACAAGTGAAGAAAATTCTTGTCATGCAAGTATATTGTGAAAGGGAGTATTCAAAAACTTAACCATACCCTGTTAAGTTTGGATCTGAGAGAATGATAATAAGCATAGGGAGAAAATGTGCATGCCTTTTAGGAACTTCTAATATAATTCAAGAGACATCATATATTAAGTGAAAATGATATTAATGTTTCCAACACAATTATTATGCAAGCAAAGGCAGATATAGTGAAAGGAGAAACAACTTGGAACCTAGAAATGCTTTGTTCCTTTGTTCATTAATTTTACTACCTAGTCATTCATTTGTAAATTTATTCACTCATTCATTCCAGAGCTATTTAGTGAGCCCACACTGTGACAGGTATTGAACCAGGCCGTGTGCTTATAAAGATGAGTGAGAAGCAGCCCCTACCCTGGAACAATATAGAGTCAGGAAGTCTACATTCAACAGTGGATTGAGGAAAACCCAGTGATGAGGATCCCCGTAGCAGAAGGCCTGATGGGAGCACAGTGTAAAAGGCAGTAGCTGAGCCTGCAGGAGGGGGCTATGGAAGCTTCACGGAAAAGGATGCCGGCCTGGGTCCCAGCCATGGAGTTGGCTAGATGAAGACAGGTGAATGTTTTAGGTAAAGGGATAGCCAGGACTAAGGCATAGAGGTGTGAGAGAGCACAGCAATCTTGGAGTTGGGTAGAGGTTATATACAGCTTAAGCATAGCATTCGTAGGGATGGTGGTTGGAGATGACACTCAAAAGAGGGGTTAGGGCCAAAATGTGAATGCGGTGGGCGAGCTGCTCAGGAGTTTGCAATTAATCCTTTGAACATTGGGAACCACGTTCCCCCATTCCCATGTTCCCAGTGTGGGCTTTTTGATCAAATTTGTTTTCTGAAAAGGACCACTCTGGTAATAGTATAGAAGATGAATTGAACAGTGGTTGTAGAGGCCATTTAGCAAGCTATTGTTGTGGTACAGGAGAGAAATGGTAAAGGTCTCTGCACAGACCACCTTAGGAGCCTATTAGTAACTTGGAGCAAGTCGCGTTAACTTTTCCAAAGTGTAGTTTCTAGGGCATAGTTGAAGTAACAGTAACAATAATAGCTACTATTTGTTGAATTCTTACTAGATGCCAAGACTGTGATATAGAGGAGTCAATTGAGAGTCAACGAGGCAGATTAGGGAACTGCCCACGATCACACAGTTAGGACATGCCGGTGCTGGCTTGGATCCAAGTGTGTCTGCTCCAAGACCTGCATATCATGTGGGGCCACCTCTCAGAGGAAGGGCACTGCCTGCTGTCTAAAGTTCCTGTTAGCTCTGAGATTCTTTAAGTGAAGATTGAATTTTTTTAAAGTTTCCGGATAAAGTAGTAATCAGATTTGGGTAGATTTATTCAGGAGAAATTTTCTGAAGCAGTAAATCCTAAGGTAGGCTGTAAAGTTAGAAGAGAGAATGATTTCTTAACCAGCTCAGACTATCTGTAAATTCAGGTGATGAGTACAATCTAGCTAGATATTTAAAGTACTAAAAGAGATAGTTTCTATATAAACACCAGTGAGCATTTATCACTTGTTTATCTGGATCAACCAGAAGAACATGTATTTTAGGTCTTTTCTGTGCTTGCTACTGTTTCACATCACCCGTGAACTAAATATCCGGTGTTTGTTGGAGTAAGTCCTAAAATGAGGTAGGAGACCAAGATGAGGCTTCCAGCTCCATTGGTAAGTTGCTGCAACTTAGGATAGACCAAAGAACATAGCTTAGTTCAGCTTTCCTCTTGACAATGGTGGTTGTGATTAGCACTGTCCAGCAAGGATGTGTGGAGCAAGTATGTTGAGTCTTTGCCCAGACTGGTTCTCTGGCCTTTCGTGGGGAAGGGGGGGGGCGAGAGGGCTAGATATTTAAAGTACTAAAAGAGATAGTTTCTATATAAACACCAGTGAGCATTTATCACTTGTTTATCTGGATCAACCAGAAGAACATGTATTTTAGGTCTTTTCTGTGCTTGCTACTGTTTCACATCACCCGTGAACTAAATATCCGGTGTTTGTTGGAGTAAGTCCTAAAATGAGGTAGGAGACCAAGATGAGGCTTCCAGCTCCATTGGTAAGTTGCTGCAACTTAGGATAGACCAAAGAACATAGCTTAGTTCAGCTTTCCTCTTGACAATGGTGGTTGTGATTAGCACTGTCCAGCAAGGATGTGTGGAGCAAGTATGTTGAGTCTTTGCCCAGACTGGTTCTCTGGCCTTTCGTGGGGAAGGGGGGGGGGCGAGAGGGGAGGCGGGGAGTCCCTGTGGGGTGCACCACAACTTTTGTACTGAATCTGTGCATTAAACAGGTCAGAGATAGGACTAATAAAATTGGAGAATAAAGAAAAAAACAATAAGCATGTATTATTAAAGGGAGTGGTTTATAAGAGGAAGAGAAACGGAAGAGAGATAAGCAACTGGGCTAGAGACAAAGGTTATAATGTAAATAACAAAATCAACATTTCAATTTTGACTGGCTCACAAGCTCAGACTATTCTAAGTAGGAGAATACATTTAAGTTAATTTTAATGTTGTGAGCGTTTCTCAAATGGTAGGTTGCAACTCTATAGTAAATACTTATTAAAATAATTCAGTGCGTTACAATCAAGATTTTTTTAAAGAATGAGATAGGATAGGAAAAGAAAGAAGGGAAAGGAAAGGTGTAACTTAAGTGGTAGTAGGGTTATTATTTTGGGAAATTTTTATGTCAATAGTAAATGATAGACAGACAGACAGATAGATGAAGTTATTGGGATGGATGTATAATGTATTCCTGTGGATCATGATCCAAAATGTTTGAAAGCCACTGACTTTCAACAGTGGTGGCAAACTTTTTTGTAAAGGGCTGGATAGTAAATATTTTAGACTTTTCGGGTCACATATTGTCTGTGACACATATTTGTGTGTGTGTGTGTGTGTGTGTGTGTATGTGTGTAATAACCCTTTAAAACTGTAACAATCATTCTTTGCTCATGTGTCACACTAAAACAGGGCCAGATTTGGCTTATGGATCATAGTTTGCCAACCCTTGTCTTAGAAAGTAGCTTTAAGCTACTGTGTATCAATACTAAGAGCTAAGTGCATGGTTAACTTTTAAGAAACTATCGATCTGTTTTCTGAAGTGGTTGTACCATTTAAAATTCTACCAGCAGTATATGAAAGTTCCAGTTCCTCCTCCTCATTGCTTGCTTTTGGTGGTGTTGTGTTTGTTAATGTTAATGTTGGCCATTCCAAAAGCTTTGCAGTAGTGTCTTATTGTAGTTTTAACTTGCATTAGCAACATGTTTTCATGTAAAGCATATTTTCTTGTGATTTTTGGATGTTTATTTAGCTTTTTA